AATTATGCGAGTTTCTAATAAATGTAAAAAAAAAAAAATGCACGCACTCGGCCGTCGGCGACGTAGATCGCGTAAAATATTTAGACACTGCGCGGTCCGTCTGCCCACAATAAAGTACACGCATATTAATATTTTATTGTATTATAATTTATACTAATAACGAACCTCCGTAATTGTACGGTATACAGTGTAATAATATAATAGAGGTGCAGCTCTATATTATAGCGTGGTGTGCTGTATATATTATGTTTAGGTATACTTAGGTTTATGGCACGTCCCATTTTTCAATTTTTTTATGTAAAGTACGACCTGGGTATATTTTGTTCATTCGTAAATATTACGTCAATGGACATTTTTGAAAAATCGATATTTTCCATCCGTTTTTCATACTTCGGACTGACAATATAATAACTGTAATATTATGCGATTGAAAGTATTGGTTTTGCTGTTTATGTTGAGTATCATTAAAACAAGTACCTATCTTTAAAAATTAGGAATCAATGACTGGTAAAAATGTGTATACGAATGAATAATTCATAATAATAATTACCACACAGCGCTGTCTAAACGAATAATTTTTTTTATGCAATTCCTTTTTCATACTTGTATAATAATTTAATTTATGTATCTCATTCCATAATTTTTCTATACTCTTTGTTCCCTAATTTTTCATACTACGTGATATTATGTATCACTTTGCATGTTTTATTTTCTTTTAATACCCCGGTTGTATGTACGTTTCAAAAATACCCGAGCAGTAATTTACGCAGAATATGACTGCACACGGTAGTTGTTCGACTTTCTATAATACCTATAATTTATATGCTACAGCTGATTAGGAGGGATATAAAATATATACTATTATTATTAAATGCGTTATGCGTAGGTACTGCAAAATTTGGACTTGAATTTGTTCGTCTATACAGGTTAGGCGAAAAAAAACGTGACACGCCCACGATATCCGCACGGGTGACGACAGATCTGAAACGACCGTCCACATGAATTATTATAATATTATAGTAACATCCGCGACCGTTTATCTGTACCGACGAGTGAGACGACCATATATTATGTACCTATTGTAGATTTACTCCGGGCAAACGGGTTCCTATACTACATAAACGTCTGAAGGCGACAACGAGGAGAGATGTGACCCATTTGGGTGACCCCCCTCACACCGAGTCTGTGAATCTACCAAATAATATCGGGGAAACACGAACGAATACTGTCTCTTCTATCGTTGCCCAGCAAATATGAGATGCTAAGCCGTTGCGGTTCTATCATAGTTATACTCGATTTGTATTAGTTATATACTTATATACATTTCGTAATCTGTCATTATAACAGTATACAGTAGTCTCGATAGCTCGTATCTCAAGAGGGATAAAAATTAATTTAACTTAATATGTATTAGTATTATGTGTTATGTACCTCAAACATAACTTAAAAACACTTCAAGTGGCAAGAAAAAAATTGAAGTTATAGATGCTCGACTGTATTTTAATATTGGCAACCAATTGCCTCAACAAATCGTCATCTCATCTCCAATCTTGATTTTTCACGCTCGCCCACTCTCCTCTTACAGGTATCGTGATGGACCGTCAACGTGGTGGTGTGTTGCAGAGAACATTTCGTATGATATCCTATATAGTATATACCTATGTGTATAATATAAGAATAAAATATACACTGCAATTATTATATACCTGTACCATGGCCGTACCGCCTGTACCACATATAAACGTTCGACACACGTAACATTATCGGTCGTAATAATACGCGTATATGGTGCGCCCCAGAAATACAGGTCATCACTCGGTCGCCGTCATCGAAGTCGTGACTATCGTGTGCGGGTATAGGTAGTGACATTCATCAAAAACACACGAAGATATTCCCACATTATGCTGTGCGCCGCACTAAATCCGTTTTACGGACGTTGAAATGGGTACTTACCTGGTATTTGAGTAGGTACATGTTTTTTAGTTATCTGAAAGCACACGACGTTGCTGCACATGATGTTTATCCAATATGGGTACTAATGTTTCTATCTACGTTTGTGATTACCAATACAAACGATATCTACACATATTAACTAACTGCTTGTTTCACGCGGAAAAGTATAAAAGTAGATCACTATAATCCATCTAACTTTATAATATGCTCAACATAATATACCATTGCAGTAACAATGACATTGAACAATTAATGTTGTGAACTAACTAGATTTACATATTTTGTTTGAATCAAAAAACACTTTTTTATTATTGATGTACGAGTAGGATAAGACCTGTTGTAAGATTTTTTCAAACCTTTTTTTAATAAAACTTGTCTGTAATAAATCAAACAGATCTACAAGTAGTGTAAAGACTAGGTAAAAAAAAAAACAAGACTGAGAATATATATTTTTTATCGGCAGTATGACATAAAAAAACCCATATATCTGTACGTTTATCTCTATACAATTACATTTAACAGTAATCACTACTCACAAGTAATAAATTGCCCAGCAATATTATATACATATATATTTTATATAGTAAAATTCCTAATAACAAACAGCGAATGAAAAAAAAAGTAAACTGAATTATAATTTATGAATGCAAAATTAGATAAGTTCGATAAAGGCACAGTGTAAAATATTTACAATAATACTTACTTGTTACGATTTTTAAATGTTATACCTATATAGATTAATCAATTTTTCTTTTTATCATAGTTAATGTACAGTTTTGTACGTACTTAGTAGAGTGTGATGATTTATTGCATGTTTAATAATGAGAGGTAAAGTTTCAAGTCAATAAAGTAATTAAAAATTGCTGGTTTGAGTATACATATACACTATAACGGAAATAATGCCAAACTGACCTACTACAAAAACATTATTTTAAATTAGTTTCCAGGAAATAATTGATGTTAAAAATCGTTGTGCCTGATGATAATTTCATATAAAAGGTTTATAAATTCGTGCATACTAATAGTTTTTGCTACCCATCATATTAAACAAATTTATTTACCGTGAAATACACTTTTATTCTACTACCATTTTATCACTATGGTCTTGGGTTGTCGTGTAAAGTTGTGTACCGATGACTAAAAAAAGAAAAACAAGTGGTTTTTACTGCACCTTTATGCTATTATACAATTAAATACAAATCTTAATTTCGTTAAGCGTTACTCATTTTACAATAGATAATAAGAAGAGCAAGATTCATTGCTAAATATACCTAATCTCATTGATGGTTTTGCGTGCCATATATGCAAAGTCAAGTTATAGGACAACGAGGAATCGTTTATACAATAATATACGGATTTAAAGCTTTTGTTCATGGGTAATATCAATAAGAGTCATGGATAACGTAAAAACACCTGGAATTATATTTTTTAACACTCATAAGTTCCAAATAATAATGAGTACCTTGGAAATCATATAATCTATATCATACATAAACTTACGAAATAAATATAATGCGAAGGAAAATTCATTTAGAATATTATTTTCACACAAAAATTAATCCGTTCACTGAAATTATCTTAAACACACAATATTATAACAAAGTAGCAAAGCCATCATTATTAGAACCGTCATACACAGCACACTATTCATTAAATTATACCTATTCGAAACTTCCCAAAAGGAAACCTACTTTCGCCGTTTCCGTGTGAGATTCAGTATTAGAAACCTATAGGTATGTACTAAATTAATACATATATAAAAGGTCAACATTTAGACTTAACCTGCAAAGCGTGTCATATATAATAACAGATTTGGCAGCTGTATGCGAGTATGTGACCCGCTGCGTACTCTTTTGATGATCATTATTCATTAAATTATCATTCTAATACAACCCAAACCACATACCTATGACATTTAAACTCTGAAAACTAGACTTTTAGTGAGTTTGATTTTATCATGCCTGACTAATGACTACATATATATTATGTAATATACCAACGATACAGTTTTCCCCTGGGGTCTTCACAGTAATGAGTAATGACTATTTACATAATATAATAATGAATTCAATAACATCTCGAGTATAGATTATAATTTTATATATTAAATAGTAATGTGTGGTGCATGAGTATACAACGTACATAAATAGACTTAGTACTATATATAGATCATATTCATATACCTGCAATCTGCATACATACATACCGAGTGATCTATTCCTAGACGCACATTTTTTCAAAAACTATTAACGTTTTTGAACATTTTTCAAGTTAATCTTAAGTTTTTAAAAACATGATTTTCCAAAACAACTATATTTTTACTATTTTTATAGTTATATACATTTTTAATTTATTTAATTTTTTGAATGACTACACTCATTTTGAATTCCTTGTTTTGAAACAGAATATTTTTTGGAGTGCTTCAATGCATATAAATCAAATTTTGGACGAGTAGTTTAAGAGCTAAGTATAAGTATTTAAAGTTTAGATGAGCGGAGTGAAGTAAAGGTACAGAGGTGCCCCACAAAATGTTGTTCCACTACTCCGCTCATCTAAGCTCTATATTCTTACAACTACAGTAAATTACTCATCCAAAATTGGATTTTCAAAGATCTAAAAACTTCGAAAAATATATCCTGTTTCGGAATATGGTATTAAAAATGTATGATAATATGTCTCTTGTCGTTCAAAAGAGTAGGGCTTAAAAAATTATACGTAATAACGATATCATATAGTAAAAAAATATGATTTTTTGTATTGACATTTGTAATAAAGGCTATGTTAAAAAAAATATGCAAAAAAATATTTTCTAAAAATATTTGATACAATGGATATAACTGGATATAAATGGATCACCCCGTATATAACAACTATAATATATAGACGACTATATGCGCGACGATATATATAATATTATACGATCTTCTCTTATATACCTAATACCTAATACATATTATATAATATTATATGGGTACTTACCTACCTCCACATACATACATATATACACAATGTTTGATTTTTAACCGAGTGTGTATGTATTTGTACAGGTCGCGGCGGTTATTATGGATCTCACATACTTGGTCGTTGCCGTATTCGGAATGTGCGTCTTGCGGCCGTGCAGTTCGCTGCCTGCAGCCGCCGCCGCCGCCGCCGTCGCTGCTCCTACGCCTACCCCGTCGTCACCGCCGTCGCTGCAGGTCGCCGCCGCTGTACCGGCCAACCACAATGACAAAAGGTCCAGGTCGCTGTTCCAGTCGCCGCCGCAGGCTCCACATCAGTACCATCTCCAAGCCGGCGGCGCGGTCGATATGTACGACGACGTGATGGACGACTTGCCGTATTACTTGCAACACCAACAGCAGCACCAGCACCAGCAACAGTTGTCGCTGCAGGATCCGACGGACGAGGACGAGCTGAGGACCGTCGACGACAACAACGCCGTCGATCAGGATATGCGGCTGTCGAGCCGGGCGCGACCCGCCAAGCCCGACTCGCCCGTGTACTTTATCCGCTTGCCGCCGCAACCGTACATGTACGTTCCTGGTTACGGTTACGTCAGCCAACCGACTAGGTTGGAACCGCCGCCGTTCACGCAGCGGCCGCACTCGCCGTTCCTGAACCTGCCGCTGAGCTACGTGTCCAACGCTAAGCCCGTGGGTGTCTACACGCTGCCGCAACAGCACCACAACCAGCAGCACAACCAGTACCAGCAGCAGCAGCAGCATCAGCAGCAACAGCATTTGTCGGGCAGGCCGCAGAAACCGAACAGACGTCCGCAACCGTCGACCACTCCGCCACCACCACCACCGCCCCCACCACAGCAACCAGATTCGCCAATCTACCATCTGGACAAAGGCCCGTACGTGTTCAACGGCCGCCCGACAGACGTGTTCCTGTTGCAGAACGCGTACGACAATTTGTACTCCGAAGTGCTACAAAACATTTACCCTTAAACGACCTTCACGCGATTTATTATAGAAAATAGACACAATATTATTGTATAATATTTTGTAATTTATTATTATTTTTTATTATAATTTATATTTATCATTATTATTATTATTATTATTATTATTATTATTATTATTATTATTATTACTATTAATTATTATTAATTATCAATCACGACGCCGACCGTCGTCGTGATCGCCAAAAAAGACTATCCGTTCGCGTGATCTTACGAATCAAAAACATAAAATAAAATAATATATTTATTTATCATATAAGAGATGCGGACTCGACCGCTGATGTAAATATACGTACTCGAATGACAACGCGTATTATATATTTATTATTATTTTCTTAAATATTATGTATTGTTATTATATATTTATTCGAATTTTTGTTTTTGTAATTTATTTTTTTATCTAATAATATGAAAATTATTTAAAATAATTGTTATACGTTTTTAAATATTGTACATAATATTATTATATATATTATAATAGTTAATAATGTCGTGTATTTTCCTTGTGTTCACCTTCAAACCACAATGCCAGACTATAAGAGGTTAGGTTCCCAACTGATAACCTAACCTAACCCATCCGGCTCCTTAGTTGTTAATACTGTTATTTTTCAAATTCAATAAATTCAAAAAATAATATTAATAATAGTCCGTTCTAAAGAACTACACTCAATTATTGCAGTGGTTTGAACTTCTAATATATCAAGTATTATTAATATAATAATGTATATAATACAATACAGTCGATATCTATAGCCTATTGAAATTTTCAGAAAACCTTCTGTATCGGAGTGTCAAACTTAAATATAATGTATGGTAAATACTAAATAATATCAAGGACTGTCGTCATTAAAAAGTACAACTTTGTAAACAAAATTACGAGATAGGTGTTTTTAAATTTATCGTTGTTATAAGTTATAACTCATAATTATTATTACAAGCAGAGCAAAAATAAAAATAAAATACAATTAAATTAGCGTAGCACGTTAAACGGTTCACCACTATACCGCTAGCTGTTACTCGGTAATTGGTATTTATATGCATAATATGTATTATAAATTATAAAATATAATATAATGCACAGCGTTAAATCTGCATCAGTACTTTCCACGCGATGCACACCCGAGAAGTGCAGTACTATAATATATTATTATTATAGGTTTTCATTCGATTATCGACATTATCGTTAAACCCTTTGAGTACTTGCTTTTTTATTTTATACATTTGCAAATTCCAGTGCACACACGACACACACTATAGTGCGCGCTTTGGATTCACATATTATTATTGTTATTATATTATTATACTCACCGTGCCTATCCTCTTACAGGTATACTTGCTGTCTGCAATATATTATAGAAAATAGAAATGTGTGTAATTAATTAGAGATCCTTATAAACGTAACAGGATTTAATTTATATACCCGATGACGAAACGATACGCATTAATCCCTATTCTCTTCTCACCGCCGCGGCGGTTTAGTTAAAAAATATATTATATTTTATATATTTTATTCAATCGATCCTGCCGAGTACCTATTGGACGGACACAATACAAATTCTACATATATTATTATAAACCACTCGCAGTGAGTTGCCCGCGTTCTGTGGCACATTCCTTTATACGCCGGGGGAACAATGTACGTTTTATTTTGTTGTTGTTTTTTTTTTTCATAAATAACAGATATATCATTTCAAATGCGTATATATAGTTTTTTACAAAGACTAATTATGTTTCAATTGTTTAATTTATTGCCGATTTGAGAAACGACGTGAAACCATTGAACCTATTTACATACACAAACATATTATATGCAAGTGGTTAACTATATATTACACGCATTACCTATTACTATGTCTGAACTATATTGAATAATATAGTACAATATACTATCATTGCTATCAGAGTATCAGCTACATCACTTATATTATATGTAAATATAATATTACCATGTCTTCGTCGGTGTTTAACATCCACCAAGGTACACGTCTACCCATTCGAGTTTCACGCGTTCTACGAACTATACACATTTATATTTGTGCCTCATTATCTATCTTTTATCTCAATCCTCCATTTTGTACACACAAACCCAATAATGTTAAATGATTAAACGTTATCGAAAAAAACATGTAGATCATGGTAAAAATGTGAAATGTCGATGTTGACTTATCCAGTTGGATATTAACCGCCGAAATAAATAATAATGTATCAAATGTCTAACATTACTCATATAATGTGTCGCTTGAATTGTTCTAAATTATGAAATAATGTTTAAACAACAATTTACTGCATTTTAAAAATAATACTAAAAAAATATGCATATCAATATTATCATTACAATTAAATGTGAATAAAAAATGACTATTTCTTATAATTGGAAAAATAATAAATTAGTTAAGTTATTCATTTTTTTGGTATCTCTGCACTATATATAGTTCTATATGTAACATAAAAACTATTGTTATTTGTTAGTTAATTAAGCTTTAAGCTAACGGTTATTAAAATAATAATTAATATAATTGAGAACATCAATTATTGTAATTTCCTGCCTTATAGATAACCTATGTAATATGTATGAATAAAACTATATAATTACCCGATACCTGACTACCTGAATATAAGATGTATACCTACATAAGCTCAACCTATTCATGCCCTTGAGGACAAATACATGATAATAACATTTTTAAATTTACGACTCATCAAAGTTCACATGGTGTATAACATAAATCGTATATTTTATTACATCATGCTTCTTAGTTCTTTTACTTCTTCATAGCCGGTGTAAGGTTTTACAAACCTCAGGACACACTCATTTATAGGGCCCAAACATTAACTTATTTTGTATTCGTCAGCAGTAAATCCGTGTACTAAGTCGCATAATACATTATTAAATAAATAATTTATAATATCAGCAAGTAATATAGGTAATATGAACAAGATATATGAATAAGAAAAAATAGAGCTTAAAAAAACCAAGTCCAGTGTCCAAATATATATTATATATTATGTACACTTCTGTTAAAGATAAAGATAATAAACATAATGAAATGATATAGGCAAGTTGATTTCCATTGGGACCAATTCTTCTGATTAATAATTAGTGGGCATTCTTATTTCTATATGACCCGTACATAATCCATACAGATGCTTGTTATATTTAATGTGATGATCGCAAGGGGTATCGAATGCATCCGAAAAAACAGGTTTTTTTATATTTTGAAATTTATTAAGCCGTTTATTAGTATTGGTCGGAACCGTTAGAAACCAGTTACCTATAAAGGCACTTGCGAATTCTTTATACTTTTATACTAAAAAAAAAACACACACATACACACAACAACAACAAGTATAACAACGCTAATGCCGTTTATTCGATAAGATGACCCACTCAAACAATAATAATATTATTTCCATTTTGCAATTATTGTTATACCAAATATTATATTGTTCTGTAAATTAAATTGTGCATACTCTATTAGTTATTACTTATTACTCCATATAATATTGTATGGGTATTTAATGTATACATTCAAGACCCGTTACAAAATAATATTAGCGGGTATAGACTATATAGATATATAGTAGTATAAAATTATACCTACGGTTAGGTATATATACATTACATGATTGTAATTAAATCCGTTATTATGCACTACAAGCAAATATTAATTTGTTTATCGAATTAATTGTACACACCTTTAAAGCTTGGAAGTCGAACCCAAGAGATTTGTTCGATAACAGGGCATTAAGAGTTATTTTTTAAAGTATGTTAATGAGAAATGAAAAAGATAACTAAATTATAGCGTTTTATTTCCGTCATTCTACAGCACTTATACTTACCTTTTAAGTAAATACATTTTTGTAAATTTTAAGTGACATTTAGTGTGTTCTTGCATCTTGCTACAGTAACGAAATTTATTTCCATATTAGTTAACAATTTGAATGTTAAATGGGTATACCTATTTAAAAATATAAAAAAAATTTCATTCCGAAATGTGACATTAAATCACTATTAACTATTGGGTACATTATTAAAAATAGGTACCTAAGTAATAAAATGAACGGTTTGTGTAGCATAAAAATATTGGTCAATTGACATATTTTGATAGAAAACAGTATAGTAAATTGAGCCAAGTGGATAAATAATTTGTTATTAACACCGATATATTACGTCTAATATGCCTCGCATCTATTAATAAAATTACAGTAAAAAAATACGTGCGTGTTTCCCACACATTACACGTATATGATTCAAACTTGTGTCATTGTACTAGTTGATTGAAATATTTAATCCACCAAAAGTTATGTATTGTTTGTCTTTCATTCAAGACAATATAATGATACGATCAAAAATATATCTGCCAAATTTAATTTTCAATAAATTTCCAATCGTTATTTGAAAAAACAACAATCAATACAAATAGTGTAAAAAAGAACGATTTAACCGTAAACGGAAAAACATATTTTATCGTATATTATATTGTTGCGTATACATTTAACCTAAATAGTATGTATTTACTATTACTTCAATCTACACATACCTACATCACTTTTACCTGTCATAGCAATTATATCAATAATAATATTCTGGGTTCGACACCGTTTTGCGATTCCATCATACTGCAGCAAATCCTTTAGTGTATTATTTTTGGCCAACGAGGGCAAATCCTTCTTGTCATAAAATATGTCGTACGCGTGTCTGTGCAATATAATATAGGATGTACGGCTTGCACAGTCGAACGACCTTTAACGATCGGAAGAGTGCATTCTTGTTCATTTATTATAGAGCGCTACGGCGAAAAGTGTAGCTACCCTCCGCAATTGGGGTGGCTATAATGCATTTCTGCCGCGCCCCAAAACACGCAAACAACAATAACAAGTATCATAACTGCGCGGTCGAAAGAAAAATCATACATTATTTGATTGCATGTTCGTGCGACACTCGTTTGTCAGATTATCGATTTGCAGAAAGAACACATTATTACAGCCTTTGTACAAAAACTCGGACATTTGCGGCTTTTTCTTTTTACTCTAATCGTTGATGTTTTCGTATTTTACACGTTTTAGTAATACAACAATATTTATACTTAACACAGTCGTATTTATAACGTCAAAAACTTAAAGACGTCGTATATCAACTGTACGAAACCGATCGGTTCAAATGTTAGAGGTACCCACCATACGTCGTATTACACGCATTCAAAAGTATATAATATTATAACAACATGTGGTAAGTTTTTTTTTTTTTATCGATTTTACTTTCAATATATTATACATGTGTACCTCTTCATTCTAATAAAATATAAAGTAGGATTTTATATTTTCGAATAGATATTGAAAAAGCGGCGTCGCTGCTAAAAATAGTCTTATACTGCACTAAGCAATCTACAATGTTGTGGAAAGTAAAAAAAAAATGTCCCTGCTATAATTGAGTTTGATCATCGTTTATTTTCGGTCTACTAACGCCACTAATGTACGTTTAATTAGTTTTAAGACAACATATCATTAAATACCATTCAAATACATGGACAAAATTGAGTGGCAACAGTGAAAAAATGCTTTCACATTTTTTTAAAATAGATTTTTAATAGCAATATTCGTATAGTTTATTTGTGCGCGAGCGAGAGTATGGGTGCGTGCGCGCATGTGTGTGTATGTGTGTATACGTGTGTGTGTGCGTTTAACAATATTGCCCGCCCTCTTTATTTCCTACTCAAACGAAGATGTACCTACCGGCGTGGAGAGATGAGTGCCTCGCTTGCCGCGTTTCCTAACCTTAGTCGAGTCGTCAGTTGATCTTCGGCTTCCACTTTGCGAAGTTTGGGCATGGTGAAGTCTCAGCAGATTTCGTCTCACAAATTGTCTTCGAACATACGTAAACACTGAAACAACCAATCTAAAATACAATTGAACTTTACCACTTCGTACATTTATTTATAAAGCTTATTCGTACAAATAATAAGGTTAGTATTTTTATTCATTTTATATTAATAGTTAAAAATATTCATATGTTCCCAAATTATTACCAGCTACTATAGCTAGTACAAACAATGTTCAAAACGGCAGAATATTTTTAAGTGGTTAACTCAATTCAAAACCTACAAGTTGTTATAAATTATAATACATGCAATTCCTCCGTATAATATATGCAACTAATAATAGCAATGAACATGTTGTGTTAAGTGATGTGAATTAATTTTTGAATTAATAATTGATTATCTGCTAAATAGTAACGATTTAGTTAGGTATTAAACTAATAAATATTTAAATTTCATAAAGTACTAAAACTTTTATTTTGATATTGACATTTGAAATTATAGTTTTATTTTGAGATGTATTTCTATGGGATATTGGAATTGGTGGTTTCTTTAGTTTCTTATGTACTGATTAAAAATAGTTAAAATACAATTATAGCAACAAAAAAAAAGAGAATTTTTTGAATTAAATAGTTCAAAATATTAAAATTGGGATCATCAAAACTATTCAATTGTTTACATATATGTACCTACCTACTTATAATATATATAGTAATTGTGTGATCATCTATAATATTTTAAGTCTGTTATAATTAGTATGTAGGTACAATTATTACAACAATTTCATTTTTGTCAATTCACTCAAAATAAAAAATGTAATTGATATAAATTCTATTGGTTGATAAATTATTTATACTTTTTAATAGTAGGTACTTATTACCTATGTATGACAAAAAAAAACTATACGTTTTTCGAAATAAATCTTTTTATTTAACAACCTCTTATATTTACCACAATAGCTTTGTGTTTGTAGATACAAAAAATGTATTATCTGTAATAGATGAACATTTATAGATGTAAGATGAACATTTTTTTTAAACTGTCACTTTATTACGACAAAATTATATTACACAGCAATATATTATACGTACATATAAACTATAACTATACTTTTACTACACATTATGACATTCGGTTCGGAACATTTTTTTCATATAAATACCCAACAATCGAATTTTATTTTTTATTTAAAAATCGAAGGTGAATGTATTCCTACTACTGCAACAGTATAGTCTACTGTACGGTACACTCATTGGTATAATAAATATATATTAATATTAGGTATCAACTATCATAAAATATAGTACTTATGAAACATATTATATTTTGAAACTAGGGAGCATTTTCGTACATTTATCCTAAGTACATAGTTGTGCACTTAGATACATAATGTTAGTGCAGTCAACGTAAAATTCTTCGTATATGTAAACTGAATTGAAAGAAAAAATTCCTTTTTAGTCTAATCACGTGCGACTATTACAATCCACTTGATTTTTTTTCTAAATGATAAAATATATAACAATAAACCCCAACGCTGACATCGCAAGACTTTAAACGAAGCGGAACTAAACGCAATCGTATCCCGGGAAGTATTTAAATATAATTATGATATTTTTAAAATAATAATATTATCATTTCGAATTTTCTCTGGGTAGTAATAAATTGTGCATGTATGTATTTTTGATCGTGTGAACCTTTAATATTTGTACCACATTACCATCAGATATCCGTTCATACATGAATTATATTTTTATTTATTCGTATTGTATAATACATAATTAGGTAGGTAAGCAAAGGGTATACGATAATAATAGTATATATCTACGAAATGCTACATCTTGAACATCAAAATAATAGTCGGGTTATTATTTAGGAAAAATATCGAAGACAAAAAATTAAATATGGTACGGGAAGACCTCAACCGCGTGAGGCGTCTGCTTGGAGTGTGGGCTTTACACTTGCCATGTTGTGTTTGAAGCAATGTATTATATAGATATAAAATTATAATATTATATGTTATACATTTGAGATCAGATCGAGCGTATTTACAAGGACTTACTTCGGCCACAATTTATACGTCTAGTACGTCCGTTTTACTGTCCGCATAATATAATAATACAGTCGTCGGCTATATACGTGCATACGTTGTATTATAAATATAATATAATATATATATATAGGAACTATACATTTATGCTCACAAGTATACATGTTATATATGAGAGAAGAAAATAAACGTGATTCATTTTCCATTGTTCGACGACGAATGAATTAATATTGAAAATATTTAGATATCAATATATCATAACTATATCGTGGTACTTGGGAGAAGTTGTAGCCAACGTGATTGCAAGGTGTGTACCTTTACCTGGTTGCTGTTGAGAATATCGGCTGCAACATTTGCGTATAAAGAAACCAAAAGCATTTCCGTAATTAAAACATGAAACAATGTATATATTATGTATACATTATACACAGGTAACTGAGTTCGATTGTTCATGGCAATAAATAAGATGCGTAAAAAATCATAAAAAAATTATTATGAGTAAAATATTGGTTTTGTGCAAAAATAGATAAAAAAAAATTTCAATAAAATCCTGACCCGAGGTCATTTTGTTCGGGTTAAACGTACGTTTTTCTTCACGACCTCTGCAAATAATACGCTCTCCGCCGTCATCGTGGCCGAAGTCTATATATATATTTTAGTGTATCGGAAGTAGATGCGCCATGGGCATTACATCATCATTATTATTACATTTTTATACTTGTTTTTTAACTTATGAATAAATAATGTTTCTTTTCTTGTCCTTTCTTGTGTGTACGCCGTGACCACGTTAAACTTTTTTCTCGTGCTTTTTGTCGTCGAGCATAATTTTTATGGCGCAAACATATTATACGTGATAAGAAAAAAAGAAAAGTATTTTTTCCTTCAATATTCATAATCCATTATTATTGAATACTGCATGGGCGACAGAGAACGATGAATTCCAATACGTGACGTATTTCTTTTGGTGACCACTATGCCTAGGTTTTATTAGGTCAACGGGTGACAAACAACGACGTTTAAGTTGACCAGTTGTAAACACGTCTGCGTATTTAAAATATACGTGACATGATAGATTAAAAAATAGTTGGCCAGTTCACCATTCAGAATTTCAAAACAAAATATAAACTATCCACCACATGCTAAATTTATATCGATTTCATATTTATAACATAAATATACTATTTTGATATGATTATAAGGCAATGACGTATGAATAGTATATGCATTTCACTCAAAACGTATTAACTCCAAAATATCCAAGATTCGAGGTATTTCTGATATGCAAATATATTTTTGTATATTTTACGAATAAAAATAATATAAAAATTGTTTTAGTATTACCTATACACAATAATTTATATTAATTTATATTTAAATTTTAAACAATGCTATAAAATATTACTATGCATATTATTGGATTTTAGCTAATTTTTTCCCGCGTACTTAGTTAAGCCCATCATTTTTATTTTTTAGTTCATATTATAGTTATTTAGTGAGCTAGTCAATCATTTAAATTGTAAATTTTAGTTAGATCGTGAATAGCGAAATACTAATTTTGTATTATAGTATTAAAGTAACTAGTAATTATTAGAAATTAATCCAGCCATATCTGATTAAAAAAACTAACCACAATAATATCCTAAAATTGCTTATATACACATCAAAAAAATATTTCTATGACATCATGCATGTTCTAAGATCATGGTCAAATACTATAAGGTTAAACACCACACATTATAATGTGTTTAAAAAAATATTTATTGATAGTATCTTCTATTACTGATCATTAAGATATGTATATTAAATAAATACGTAAGTCCGGTGTCTTTCTTTTACCTACGTATAATATTGTGTACAATTTATATTTTATCTCAAGTTATCCGTCCTTTCAAATAGGGGTTAAATTATAATTGTCAAATTAGTAATAGAAATGAATATTGAATACGCAATATCCATGCTGTATGCATAAAAAATCAAATTGTAATTTACTTACGTAACCAATACGGTGGTGCCTAGCACGAAATAATAGTTAAAATAAAATAATAATATTGTTGTATATATAATGCCACCCAATTATTGAAAAGGGAATTTTCGATAACACATCCTTCTTCTAGGTATCACACCGTCATTTATTCCTCATATTGACGTTTTCTCAATACTTTGAGTATGAGCAATATCATTGTGGTTGACAAAATCAATGGAATGATTGACGGAATAGGTACATAGCAAAATAATATCACTCAAATAACAATAAAATGTTAAATGGATAGTTAACAAAATATATTTAGATTAACTACAGGTCTATATAATATATATTATATGCATTATACATGAGAATTCACTACTTTCAATTGTTGGGTAGTATGTACAGTTCCATATTATTTTACTGAAGTAATTTGAAACAAATGCTACAACTTCTTTCATATATTATAAAAAAATCTATAATATTATGAACAGCAGTAATTAATTATCATTAATATTTTATGTAAGTGAGCAATAATTGACCTTAATGGCCTAGATACCCAAACATATCTTAATAAAAAAAAACAACTAAGTGAAGATTTAAAATAAAATACAGGAATTCGATCACACTAAAAACATCGTAAAAAATTAATTTGGAATGACATAAAATGAAGAAATATCTCTGTGTTAGAAATAGCGTCAATAACTTGGTTGTTAATTTTTTTTTTATTATTATTATTACTTTAATTCGTATGACTTAACAAAAATAAAACAGCTTAACGTTTTTTGCTTCTATTTGCTAGCAATTAATAAGAATTATCACTAACATAAAATATAATTTTTTATTTATTTACTATTTATTTTAAAAAAACTATAGGTAACCCACCTTTTTATTTGTAACTATTGTAGTAAATACACAAATTATCCACATGGTCACATCTCACATACATCATATTTCAGTAGGTACCTAACTAATTTAACTATTTTTTTTTTACTCAATATAAATAATAAACTATTTTACACATGGGTATAATAATAAAAAAAATAAGTTTGGATAGAAGAACCTGGCTTGTATAAAAAACTAAATCGAATTCATTATATTATTGATAATAATCCATCATTACTAAACTAGTCTCCT